TGATGCGGAATCGGATGGGCAGCCAATGCAATGCGGCCAGAGTGGGTGAAATGTGTTGGAACTTTCTCACTCCACTGAGTAATCTGGCCGCCGCACTCTGCACCACCTGTAGTTATATAAACCAAGAAGGCATTACTGAATTGGTCTTTGTCTCAACTGGTTAGTGCCTAGACAAAAAAATAACCTGCAGTCCACCAGGAAGTTTCATTACAAAGCTCTGTGTATGTGTTTGCGATTAAATTAAGTGTGAGATTTACAATAAATCCCCTGTAAAGTAGAGAAAACAAGATGAATTATTATGCTTTTATTGCGTGCCCTGAGTTTGGGAGAGTACTTCTCTTCCTTCTCTTCTTTCTAGGCTGCAGAAGTAAATGCGTGTTTGGCCCCAAAGTGGAAAACATGCTTCTTTTCTTTGCTACTGATGTCTGCCCTGTAATTTTGTTCTACAGGAAAGTCCTAACCTTCTTCTTCTTCAAGATTCCACAAGGCCACCTCCTACTCTACTCTTTAGCTGCCAGACAGGAGTTGGAAGGACTAATTTAGCCATGGTCTTAGGCACTCTGGTGCTTTATCACCGCAAGGGTGCTTCAAAAAAGCAAGAGTAAGTATACATCTCCTCCTGAGGTAACCTAATGAAAATAAAGCTAAGAAGGAAGGAAAATGGTAGCTTCATAGGATTTGGTGACCTCCCAAAATCTAAGATTTCAACTCCACTATTCAGAAAATGTATTTCTTCAACAGACTAAACAGCCTTGTGGATTAGACCTCACATACTGGCTTGGCTTAAGGACCACACCTTGTTTCTTGATGTGCACATATCAATGTTGGTCATTGCCATAGTTGAGATTGGTGCCATGGTAATCCAACCTGTCCTGCCACTTGAGGTAGATACTTTTGCTGCCCTGTCACTGCTAGGCTTCAAAAGCAAGTGAGAAAGAGGCTCTCCAGAGCAAAGATGCTGGTATGACCTGTTGAGTAGGGTCATGCCATTTATCCATTCATTCTCTGCCTCCTGAAAAGGGGTCTCACTGCATGTAATGGAAAAACAAGGCTCGATTTGATGGAACTATCAGTGACAGCAAATAGATTCATATAACAAAGCAAAGCCATAAAATGCAGGCATTGTAGAGGAGAAACCCTCACCTTTAGGTGAGATAGTCTGAATTAACATGCTCTGTTTATCTGACAGTCTTTCATGTTCTTGATGCTGCCTGGTGGGACCCTGATTCTTCCAAAGTGCTGAACATCCATCTGTTGCCAAGTCTATGAACTCATTGGCCCAAATCCTCTTGCTTAGCATAGTAAGTTGCACTAGAGTAGGCCCATTGAATCAGTGGGGATTAGGTAAATCAACTCCTCTAAATGTTTCATTGATTCAAATGGGCCTACTCTAGCCAAATTAAATCACAACTAGACTAGGCCTATTCGAATCAATGGAATTTATGGAAGAGTTGACTCATCAAATCCCTACTTATTCAGTGAGTCTACTCTAGTGCAGTCTGTTACACTAAATAATAGTATTTCAGTCATAGTCTCAGGAGATAATATTTATTCCAGAGTTATTTCATGTAAGTGATCAACAGAGAAGAGCTATTGGACAAAAATATTATTTCCAAAGGGATTTATTGCTGCTTCAAGCACCATAAATCTGAGCTTTGCCATTTGTGTTTTTCATTAAATTGTGTGGGTGTATAAGGAACAGGGGAAGATATTCAGTGAATTTGTAAAATGGCACAGTGTTTCCCTGAAAATAAGACAGGGTCTTATATTAATTTTTCTCCAAAAAACTCATTAGGGCTTATTTTCAGGGGATTTTTTTTTCATGTACAACAATCTACGCACAAGTGCATTAAGTATGTCCGTTACAACACAATGCCAAAAGGCAGTAGGCCAAAGGGACATGAAGAAGAAAAAGAAGATGACGATGGAGGAGGAGGAGGAGGCAAAGCGGTGGCAAGAAGCAACCCGGGAAGGAAAAGAGCGGGAAGACAGCGATGACCATGGCACGGGGTTGGGGAGGCAGGGGAGGAAGTGAGGCGGAAGGGGCACCCACTGTGGGTCAGTCACCCGGCGGGCGCCATGCAAGGTGCCAACATAGCTATGGCTGACGGCTGCTCTTCCGGAAGGGGAAACTGGCAGGCCTCTTCTTCCTTGTTGGGAGGGGTGCCCTCCGGGAGCTGTGGCACCCACCATTGGCAGCAAGTTCCACTTATCAGAGCCACACACTCCCTTTTTCTTTCTCTCTCCCCGCCTGGCCAGGTCTCCTTTTCAACCCCTTTTCGGGAGTGTGCACACGAGCGAGCAAGGGAGCTCCCAGCCTTGTCTTTCCTGTCCTCCTCCCCCCCCATGCCTCCCATGCTTCCAATTCCCTTGTTCGTCTTCTTTTTAACCATTTCTCAAGTCCTCCCTTCCCCTTCCCCTTCTTTAAACGTACCTGGTGCCACTGCCTCCAGGGGTGTCTCTACTGCCTCCTCCGCTGCCGGGAGGTGCCACAGTGGTGGCAGAGCCTCAGATGAAATTCCTGTTGGGGTTGGCAGGCACTGGGTTCGTTTTGCGGAAAACTATGGCGTCGGCGTCTGTGGCAGTGGAGGGGGATGGTGTTGGTGTGGAAGGTGTTGGGGGCCCAAAGCCAGTGAGCCTGGTTGAGGAGAGGGCAGCAGCATCTTCAACATGGCAGTGGCCCTGCCGGCGGCAGCGAAGAGGGAGCTGAACGAGAGGAGGGTTGAAAGAAGTCTTAAGTCTCTCTCAAGGGCTTGGAGGATCCCAGTGAGTCCCTGGTGGAAAGCGGGGTTTCACTTAACTAGGGCTTATTGTTGGGTTAGGGCTTATATTACAATCATCTTGAAAAATCATACTAGGGCTTATTTTCGGGGAAACACAAGAGAACTGGAAAACTGTGCCAGTTTACAGTGTGTGAGAGAGACAGAGTGTGGTCTGTTCATAGAAAATAAATCTTTTCATCTTCTACAGTCATAGCCTTCCACAGTCCAGTAAATTCCTGCCCAGGGATCAGTTTCGGGTTATTCAGAACTTCATTGACACAGTGCCCAAAGGCCAGCAAATAGTGGAGGAGGTAAGTGAATTTATATTGCTTGTATCTTGACAATCTAGTCAGGGAGGTGTATCGAGATGTAGTATTGGGTAACCATTGTCCTCTGGGAGCCATTTTCAAGAGAAATGTCTTATTATCCAGAGGGAGTTGTGAACCTTCTTTCCTCAATGTTAAGGCATGTTGTATACTATGATACTTAGGTTATTAAGGAAGATGGAGGAACTAAGGTACAGTGCATCAACCAGGAATGGGGGAACGGTGGCATTTTAGATGATGATGAGACTCCCATTACCCCTGATCATCAACCATGATGGGTAGAGTCATCAGCACCTGAAGATCAATAATATCTGGAGGACCACAGATTCTTTAGGCAGTCTGGAAAAAAACCGAATATGGATCACTCCTTACTTGAGCAGTCCTTCAGCATACATAGCATAATGATTGATTTGGCCTTGTAGGAGATCAAAGATAACTTTGTTGTTGCTGCTATTAATTAATAGTAATGATGTGCCATCAAATCAATTCTGGCTTATGGTAACCCTTTTCAGGGTTTTCTAGGTTAGACAATACTCAGATGTAGTTTTTCATTCCCTTCTTCTGGGGCCACTCTGAGACTGTGCAGCTTGCCTAAGGCCATATAGGTTGGGCTCTACTTGCAGGAAACACCGTGGGGAATCGGACTCTCGACTTCTGGCTCTGTGGCTAAACCATTCAGGCCCATGCTTGTGCACGGAAAGAGATCAACTGCCTTTCTTGTATACTGAATTAATATGAAAGCAAAAGATTTACACGCTCTCCAGAAGTACTTGCTATTGGAACTGTGTGCTTAAGCTAGAAAGCTGTAGAAGAGGGACAGGGTAAACAGGGGCACATGATTGAGACAGAAGATTGAAGCGGGTGAAATCCCGTCTCTTGCATAGATTGACTTTTGCTTTTTGACCCTTGAAGGTGGATTCTGCCATCTCCTTATGTTCAGAAATGCATGACATGAGGGAAGCCATCTATGAATATAAGAAGAAATTGGAAGGGATCGGAGAAGATTACCAAATCCAGGTAGTCATTGGCTGAGCAAGAGCTGTATTTTACTATTTGAATCTTGGTCAGAACTCATGGAATTTGTATGTTCGCTTAGATAGGTGGTGTCCGCACTTTAGTTTGCAGCTGTTGTTGACTCATGTAATGAAGGGGAATTAAAGCTCTTTGAGGGAATTTGAGATCTCAAAGGAAGTAGGTGGTGTCCGCACTTTAGTTTGCAGCTGACTCATGTAATGAAGGGGAATTGAAGCTCTTTGAGGGAAGTTGAGATCTCAAAGGAAGGTTTTCACACATGTTCACAATCTACCATTCTGGGACTTCCATGGGGAAATGCTCCAAAAGATTCATGCCTCAATCACTTTGCCAATTGGAAATAAATCATAGCTCAGTGGTAGAGCACATCATTTCCATGTGGAAGGCCCCAAGTTCAACTCCTGACAACTGCACTTACTAGAGAAAGGTGACATAAAAGTCCTCCTCCTGAGACCTCAGAAATCTGCTGTCAATTAAGAGAGGCCAGCAGTGGGCAAGCCTCAGGCTTCTAAAGTAGGATATGGTTGGTTTTGTTTTTCATTGAAAAACATAAAGTGGAGCCAGATGCAAAAAACATGCATTTAGAACTACATTGTTATGAGCCTAAGCATTTGTTTCAACTGCAAGAATGAAATGGAGGTCAGAATTCTTCCAGAGGGGCTGGACGAAGTCACTCCTGCTCATCCCAGGCATTTTTCATTTTCAGCTCAGCATGACTGAAGTTGAGCATGGGTCTGGTTATTTTATTGTTACAGTTGTGGAATGAGTGGAAGTTGGAAAAGAAAATGAATCTGCTGCAAATCATTTGAAGAGATCTACCAGTAGATCCACAGCTATCCTCTGCCAATCCTTGTGATAAACAGGACTGGGCAAAAGGAACAACTCGACTTTCCTAGTGAAACTGCTTCCTATGCTTTCCACCAAATTTAACGAGCACGTTTTTCCATCCACCTCTGCTGTTTTTCAAAGGTGTTGTGCCAAAATTAGACTGTCCACTCTGGAACCTCTCTAGGGATATTTCTAACTAGTTCTCTTGTTTAATTTTGGACGAAGATTTCTCCTATTTCACCATTCTGTCAGATTTGATGCCAGACGTTGGAAATAATTTGGTAACAAATATACCCCTAATTCATAAAAAAATTCCTCTAGTGATTTCAAATTTCATTATTTGAATCTTTAAATACGGATGATGTTCATGTTTGAGCAATGATTATAATATGTTATTTGAATTTGTTACTTTTTGAGGAAATTTGGGTTTAAGCTGTTCTTTAAACATTATTTCAGTGATTTTAAAAAATAGTAGTTTAATTGTGTTCTTGAAGGCTTTCACGGCCAGGATCTGATGGTTGTTGTGGGTTTTTCAGGCTGTTTGGCCGTAACAAAACGTCAGGAAGAAAAACTTCCAGAACATGGCCAAACAGCCTGAAAATGCCACAACAACCACCAGTAGTTTAATTGTTAACCAATTAATTTTATAGATATCTGCTGGGTTAATTTTCTTTAATGATTTAAGATTTATTGCTAACTTTCATGTTAATGCTGACATTTCTGTTAGTAATCATGCATACTTGAATCATTCTATGACAATTCAATAGCTTGCATTTTGATCCATCCAGCAGAAATTGGATCTTGAAAGACGGATGTACACATCTCCTAACCAAAACTTTGATAATGTAAACATTTCAGCTTGCCAAGCCCATCTGTGGCTGCTGACTGCTCTTTTTCTTCCTCTTCTTCTCTTTGGAAATATGTTTTCCTATCTGACCTGTAAGATCTTTTAAATGTTGATCAGAATTATTATTATTGGTTTTATTTATATGCTGCATTTTTCCCAACAAAGGGCCCAAAGCGGCTTACAGCATTAAAATCCACACAACTTAAAAACACAATAAGTTAAATATTAAAAGATAAATTAAACAATATATGATTTAAAAGACAATTAAAAGATTAAAACATGAAAAGGTTAAAAAGATTAAAATTTCTGCTAAAATGGGGTTCAGGGGTTCAGTTATAATTGTTAAAAGCCTTTGATGAGAAAGATGAAGAAGGACAGATAAAAGTAGGGGACTTACTGCTTTAATTCCCCCCTTGGTAGCTTCCTCTCCCACCTAAAGATAGTATAAACAGGATAGGTGCTAAAATACGTCAGGTATAAATAATAACTATGATCAAGGACATCTTGTGCTGAGAGCCAGAAAGCTCTCGATGGACAAATGTTTATCCAGAAAGCCAGGAGGATAGCTTACATTTCCAAGAGACCACTTGCAGTTGAGGATGGAAGCTCTTGTAACTCACTCTTTTTTTTCCAAGGGTTTCCAGTGTGTTTGGTACTGAGTCAGGACACACACCAGAAGGGATTCAGCCTTTGCATTGCCCACCCACCTGTGCTCATAGGAGAGAACTGGGTGGAGACCAACCAAAGATGCAGTGAGGTTACACCCATAGGCCACTCATGTGGTCCTTCCTACATAGATCAATTGCTTGCAATTCTAGCAGTAAGGATATTTGTTCACTTGCTGGTTACAGATTGCCTGCTTTCTTTGCTTCATTCCATTTTAACAAAGCCAGGTCTGACATGATAATAATAATCTTAGAGCTGCACAACTGGAAGGGACCCTATGAATCATCGAATCTATCCCTGTCAAGGAGGCACAGTGGGGAATCAGACTCCCAAACTAGCTCTGCAGCCAGATACCTAAACCACTGAACTATCTAACACCTTATCTTTCCAGTATGAGGTTGAGTATCCTGAGAAACAATGGTATCAGGGAGTTAACCTGCCTTGCATCACATGTGCTCCAGATGTGGTCCTTGCATGTTGAGCATGATCTGAATTGGGGAGCTAGATAATCTAGGTCAGGCATGCAAAGTCCCAGATCCTGTCAAAATCTATATGGATCAGTGTCCAGGTATCCACACAACATGCAGATGTCCCACTAGGATTAAGGAGCAAGTCCTTGGACTCACATCCCATTGATTGTGAAGAGAACTTGCACAAATCATACATTGCAAGAAGAGAGTAGGCTGCCTTGTTCTGTTTCTAACTGTTAGTCTGCCTGGCCCAGTGTTGTCAGTTCTGATGAACTGTGGCTCCCAAGGTTTCAGGCAAGGTTAGTGCCTAGCCCTGTCTGGATACCAACTGATCTCTCATTCATGTTAGTGTCCCTCTCAGCTTGGCACGATCCTGCTTAGCTGCTGAAATAAAATGAGATCGGGTGTTCCTTAGACGAGTTGCTTAGATTTATAAATGTGTAGAATGTCCCTCTTTCTATAAAACTTCTGATAGAGTACACCTGATGATTCTCTTTCACCTATCAGAACAGATATAAATTGTGGACTCCAGGGATAGTTTGGTTGGGGCATATAGGGAAGAAGATCTTGCCTAGAGCTTGGTAGCCGCAGTTTGTTTCTCTGTAAAATACAAATATGCAAGAGACCTGTCTCTTCCGTAGCTCTCCTTATAATAAGATACATTCGGACACACAGTCTAGACAATTTGCCTGTAAAGTGTTAGGCACATTACTCCATTAGTTGCAAAATTACTTGTGTCAGAGCGTAATGTTAATCTGTTGCCCCACACTTCAGTCAGTTGGGCAACTCTGGGACAAAACATGGAGTTGTTTTTAACGGGTTAATAATGCAGTGTCTGTGGATTTTCACACCACAGCTTTATTCATTTTGTAAAAAAGTTTTCTGAATTGTGCATTATAAGAATATAATGCAGATGTACAGTCCAGTACATGGTGATGTCACCTGCTATTGGTCCACGTCTCCCCTTTGTTCCTTTTATATATATATACACAAGGAGTGTTTATTCGAACTCCAAGTGCAGCAACAGTTCTTTTTCAACAATGGAAAAATGTCGCTGTGAATGTTTTTTTTTTTACATCACATAACAAAGTGGAACACAGGGCTGTGTTCCACTTTGTGTAGTTAATATATATACTCTGGTATATATGTAACTATGCAGAGTGGAACATATATTGTATATAACTATGTGTAGTTATGTATATGTTCCACTCTGTGTAGTTACATATATATCAGAGTGACACAACTTCAGAACCAGTTCCAAACCAGTATTGTGAATATTTGCCCACAACGGGATGGATAGATTTCCTATTTTTGCTGCTTGTTTGGGGCTGCAAAAATGAGAGGAGGGACTCATAGACCCTGGGGTCATGTACTTGCTTATTGTTTCTTGCTTAATTATGTTTTAAACCACCCAGAGAAAGCTGTAACACTATGGGGAGTATTCGCTAGTTGTAAAGTACCGTATTTTTCGCGCCATAAGACGCACTTTTTCTCCACAAAACAGGGGGGTGGAAAGTCTGTGCGTCTTATGGAGCGAAAAATACGGTATGTGATGATTTTAAAATGCTTTTTAACTCCCTTGTATGACTCAATGGCTAAAATCCTATTGCTTAACAAATCTTGTTGCAACTAGAGAATGCCCATTGAATCAATGAAACTTATGGAGGATTTGACTTACCAAATCCTCACTGATTCAATGGGCCTACTCTAGTTGTGTCTTACTATATTAAGCCACATGGTTTAAGCCATTGAGTACAACACTCTTCCCATGGGACCTAAATGTGCTTAAGTTTGGTTTCATTGTGCCCGGTGAGTGTCTCTCCCCATCCTCTTTTATTGTGTGACTAGAAATATTCCATGCTGGAAACTTTAGAGTCCAGTTCTAAGCACATTACTTAATCTTTTTTGATAAATGACCTCAGGCCGGATTTCTCTTGAAGGATATCAAGTAAATATTAATGGAAGACAATTATATAATGTCACAGATTTCCAGCAGATGCTTGCCAAGTTCTCTTTCTGTCTTTTTTTTTTTACCCCAAAACGACATGAAACTTCTCACTAAGCAGAATTAAATGTCAAAGCACAACATTTTCCGTATAGCAAGCCAGAGTAGTGCGGTGCAACAAGGATGCTTCATCCAATATTTACCTCCCCAGAAAACTCACTGGATGACATGGGTCTTCCATGACTTCACCTTCCTGTGGTCCCCAATGTTGGCTTGCCATCTATGGCCACTGGGAATGGTAGTTCACCAGCCCACCCCTGGTACAGAGGACATCATATGCAGCAAATAGTAATTTTTGTTTGCTTGTTTTAAGAGATCAATATTTTTGTTGTTGGATCATTCTTAGCAGATGTTATTTAAGTCAGACTTTCTATCCAAACCCAACTTATATAAAACCCCACAGTAAAAAGCATTTCTAGGGCTGCTAACTGTCAAGTAAGGGACTATTAGGGTGTCAGATGTAGGAGACTGTTCATAGGGCTATGCACCTCCCTTGATTTGGCGATTAAGGTATGTTAGAGGAAAAATCATGATATAGGGTACAACAATTCATGTTGTGATGCTCTCCATTTACTTCTTCGAAAAGAGAGTAGTAGGCTTGGAAGCTAAAGGGCTGATCATGCTGTATACCTCCTTGCACCTTATAAATGAAGGTGATGGAATAAATGATGCAAAATAAGAAAATCTATTAAAATTTGCATAAATTATATAGGTTGCAGACTGCTGTTATTTATTGACATGGACTTTTCTTATAGCTTTAGAACACAGCCCTTTTGAGTGTTGCCAGTCTCTATGAAACAGGCAAACCTCCTATCACCTTGCCTCTTGGTTTCCTCCAGCAATATACAGTCGTGCCCCACTTAACAATTACCCCGCACTACGGCAAATCCGCTTCACGACAATGTTTTTTGTGATAGCAATTGCTATCTCAAAACGATGTTTTAAATGGGGGAATTTTGCTGTGTGATGATTGGTTCCCTGTTTCGGGAACTGATTTTTCGCATTACGACGATCAAAACAGCTGATTGTCAGGTTTTCAGAATGGCTGCCGGGTGCTCAAAATGGCTCCCCACTGTGCTTAGGGACGGATTCCTCACTATACAGGCACTGAAAATGGCCGCCATATGGAGGATCTTCGCTAGACAATGAGTTTTTAGCCCATTGGAACACATTAACCAGGTTTTGATGTGTTTCAATGGGTTTTTTATTTTCGCTTTACGTCGTTTTCGTTCTACAGCGATTTTGCTGGAACAAATTAACATCGTTAAGCAAGGCACCACTGTATTTGATGTTTTTATGTGTTTATGTAATTAGGTTAGTTGTGAAAGGCGTCTCCATGACAAACACACAGTTTAGGATGCAATGTTCCATGATGCTCACAAGTGTCTGTATAATTAGTTTGTGTGTATCTATTGCAGGGGAACAGCACCAAAGAGTATTTCCTTCAGAGGACATTACGGAGCCTTGAGCGCTATTTCTGCCTAATAGCTTTCAATTATTATCTTCATGAACAGGTGAGCATTTTCTCCTGGACTCCTGGCAGTGTTCATTTTTTCTCCCCTGCCAGATGCACCAGGTGATGTGCGGTAGACTCTGTACTGATGTCTGCCCTTTAGGTTGTAGGAGCCAGATGTTACAGTCTAGGAAGTAGGAACTGGGCACAGAATTGTATGTTAGAACCCATGTGCTCATTTCTTTCTCTGTTAAAAACATTTTACATTCTGTCTTTTCCATTGAAAAATGCTAGAAGAGGCTCAGAGTTAGAAAGTGTAAAAAAATGTTTTAATACAGAAATAAAATCAGCCATAAGAGAAGAAAAGAAAGGGGATCAAAGGAAACAACATCAATTACCTTGGTCAAAATGTTCTTTTAAAGGGCAAAAATTTAATCTGGTCATCAAAGACAAACAAAAGATGCACATGTACAAAAATGGGAAATTGCCAGGGGAGCCTCTTTCAGGAATGACTTTCTAACTGTCTGGGCCAGTGGTTTTCAAATTTGGGTCCTCAGATCTTGTTGGGTTCCCCTGATGATTAGCTCTAGCTAGTGCTTTGGGGAGTCAAAGTCCAGCAGCTTCTGGAGACTCAAGTATAGAACTGCTTGCCTAGGGCACTGTAACTGAACCAAGCCCTACCATTTATCTCTGCCTGCTGATGTTTAGACAGTGAAGGACCTATTAACAGAGTTCCCACTGCTGTTGAACAAGGTGCCTGGACAGCTTTACAAAGTGGGAGGGAAATACTGAAAGATTTTGATGGCAGTACATTTAGTTCCACTAATAAAATCTTGATGCTTTATATAAGTGATGGCAGTTAAATAAACATTACAGCAGTGAGTTTGATGAGAAGCAAACAGTGAATTGATTACCTTCCTCTGCAGACCGCTCTCGTATGTTTACACACACATGTCATTTGTGATTGTTTCTTGCTGGTAAACTCTTGAAGTCCATGGTTAAATCAGATTGTCATGGCAGCAGCTCAGTATCCTTGTCATCACACTCCTCTCTGGCTATTGTTTGACATGACTGCAATGATAGTATATTTATTGTTTTAGATTCTGTGAGGCTTGTAAAATAAATCTTCACCACAACTATCAGATGGGCAATTACTCATGGCAGTTTTCTCTCTCTCTCTCTTGTCTTCCCATCCTTTCCTTTCTATTCATGTATGACTTTTTAACCCCAAAATAAGTAGTCCATTAGGCCCATCTCAATGTGTGTGCTGCAGCAGCAACAATATGTGTTCCTTTCCCATCAGAATGTCAACATAATTGAATCTGCCTCACAGATTATGTCTTGAATAGATAGAGTCATAATGGGCTTATATGCACAGTCGTTCAATGGAAATGGAAATTCAGTGTTCCTGGTCTTTGTGTGTGCTATAGAGCAGTGGTCCCCAACCTTGGGCCTCCAGATGTTCTTGGACTACAACTCCCAGAAGCCTTCACCACCACCTCTGCTGTCCAGGATTTCTGGGACTTGAAGTCCAATATCACTTGGAGGCCCAAGGTTGGGGACCACTGCTATAGAGTAAGGACTTCCTGTGATGTGTGCACAGTACTTGGAATCCAACCATGTTCCTAATGCTGCTCTTACCTGTTTTTTTCTCTGCTGTCTCTTGGATGAACAGTACCCCCTAGCTTTTGCTCTCGATTTCAGTAGATGGATGTGCAGGCACCCTGAGCTGTACAGGCTTCAGGCAAACATGAACCTGTCGGAACTGACAATCACATGTGAGCAGATAACTAAGGGAGTACGGGTGTTGGTGAGTGAACTACTTTCAGCATACTTAGTCTTCCACTATCATCCTGTCTGATGGTTAAGCATCCTGTGACACAGATGTTTTGGACAAGAGCTCAGTTTTTAACTGCATTTATGTAAGAACACTTTTTGTGTTCCTCCCTATCATCTCTTGCAAGTAATTTATAAGCTCCTTCTGATGATGGTGAGGTTAGTGGGATTTTTTTTACGGCTTCAGTTTCAGACTGCAAGGGTTGGAAACGCATGTTCTTCCAAGATTCTGTGATGAGTGTGTGTATACCTTTGCATTTCTCCCCTGTTTGCACCCCTTTCCCATGCCTTAGCATTAGCAGAGATCAGGCAAATAATTTGTACCTGAAGGCATTTGATTAGTTCAAGGGGGTTGGAAAGAAGCCATTGGTAAGAGCGACTGCTTTTCCTAGTATGTTCTTCATCGATCAGGAAACTGCTCTAGTAAAATGAATATGGAGTGCTGAGTTCCCACAGATTTGTGGCCACAACATTTCTCATGTTTTACTTCTGCTGCAGGTTGTAGATGAACGCTTTTCTCCAGATGTACTTAGCACAGTCAAGGAGATGAGTGTGGCCAACTTCAGGAGGGTTCCCAAGATGTCTGTGTATGGGATGGCCCAGCCCAACTCCAAGGTAAATACACAATACTTTTTAATTTCTATAAAGATGGGACCAAAGAGCATCAAGATAAACTTGATATGGGGCTTAAAAATGAGAATAAAAATACTTGACATGTATGGTGACACGTTCTGGTTTCACACATATATGCATTGTGCAAGCTAGCAAAACAAGTAATAAAAATGATAAAATAGACAATTCTTTAATGTGAAAAAGCAAACCATTTTCAATGTTGAAGCATTGCTTAAAAAGCTTTAGAAAAACTGTGATGTGAGTGGGATGATACTATATATTTTTCACCCAATTCTGAGATAGCCACCCTAGTGTCTCCACCGCTTTCTGCCAATCCTAGAGATCTTTTCTTACCACCTTCCTGTGTAGTGCAAATTTCATTTTCCTGAACTTACCTGGAGGCTACCACACATTTTTTTAATTTATTGATTTGAATTTCCTGGAATGGAATGCAGAGAGAGAGAAAAGATGGCAAAAGGTACAAACCTTGCAGCAAATCCATGATAGCTAATTTGTATTTTCTTTTCACCCAGCAACCTTGACTGTAATCATTTTGTTTTTGCCATATATTTTCAGGCTATTGGGAGTGTCTTGAACTATCTGACAGATGCAAAGAGGAAGTATTCTCACATCTTGTGGGTTAATCTCCGTGAAGAAGTGGTTCTGGAGGGGAATGAGCAAACGTATACTCTCAGGGAAGTTGGTAACATGGACCAGCAGATAACAATCCCTGCAACATCGCCTGAACAGCTAGAAGTGAGAGCTGAAATACTTCTGTCTCATTCTTTCATACGCCAGAGCCCCAAGTCTGCTAGCCAATTCCAAATATATTAAGAATGTTTTCAGATATTATTCTGGTTGCTGCACCTCAAAAAAGACATAGTGGAACTGGAAAGGGTGCAGAAGAGTGCGACTAAATGATTTCTGGGCTGGGGCACCTCCCTTACGAGGAAAGGCTACAGTGTTTGGGGCTCTTTAGTCTAAAGAAAAGATGCCTGAGAGGGGACATGATTGAGATGTATAAAATTATGCAGGAATGGATAAAGTGGATAGAGGGAAGCTCTTTTCCTCTTCATGCAATACCAGAACCAGGGAACATCCACTCACACTGAGTGTTGGGAGAGTGAGAACAGACAAAAGAAAATATTTATTTACCCCGCATGTTGTTAGTCTGTGGATCTCCTTGCCACAGGATGTGGTGATGGCATCTGGCCTTGATGCCTTTAAAAGGGGATTGGACAGATTCCTGGAGGAAAAGTCCATGACAGGTTACAAACCATGATAGGGGATGTATAATCTCCAGGCTTAAAAGGAAGGTTCTTCAGAATGCCAGTTGCAGGGGAGTGGTATCAGGAGAAAAGGATTTAGTTGTCTCATGTGGTCCCAGAGGCGTCTGGTGGGGCCACTATGAGATACAGGAAGCTGAACTAGATGGGCCTTTGGCCTGATCCAGCAGGCCTCTTCTTATGTGCTTATATCTGTGAAAAGGTGATGGTAATAAGGTCAACATTATTAGGTACTAATGGGGCAATATGGATTGTAGTGAAGCATAATATACTTGGGGATATACAGAATATACAGCTCCAGGGTACTGTTGATCAATAATTGTAATGTATTTGTGAGGCGTTTTGGCCTCCAGCCGTTCGTGCAGCATCAGACAGGCTGCCTTTATTTTGTTTGTACAGGCATAATATGAAAGCAGCCGACATTGCCACTTCTCAGTTTCTGCTTCTCTGAGAAGAGCACTTGAAAATAAGGCATTAAAATAAATGTGTTACTGACAAATGTGTTACTTTTCTGGTCCCCTATGAGAAGAAAGCCCTCAAATGTTTAATGGTTAGAAATAGCCTTTTTAGAAGTCTCATTAGGTGGACTTTTACTGATTGCAAACAGTTGTAGGTCCCTATGTCTGTCATCATTTCCTCCACCAAAAGAAAAGAAATCTAAAATCATTTAAAGCAAGATCTATATTTGTTAGCACAGTGCTAGGCACATAAATGCAGTTTGACTAGCTTCCTAACTGTTAGAGCAGTATGACAATTGAACCAATTGCCCTGAGAAATGATGAGTACTCCAACACTGGAGGCATTCAAGGGAACCACCAAGCCAGCATCCTTTGATTTGTATTCCTGCATTAAACAACAGGTTGGACTCGATGGCCTTATAGGCCCTTTCCAGCTTCATGATTCTATGACTAAAATGCCAAAATATTTTAATTAGCATACCCAAAAATCTATGTCTCCTTTGTGGGCTTTTTGAACTTAAAGAATGCCAAGAATCAAAGTTTGGGAGCTACTGCTCCATAAAGACTCACTTTGCCCCTTTCAATATATTTTCTACAGCAGGATACTAGCTGTAGTTATATTTCAGAGTAGACTTATCACCAGAAAGGGCTTCAGAGAGATACGATTGGCCTAATCCCAGGTAGCTGCTGGGTATAGTGTCCCTATTTCTGTCCCACCCAAATCAAGTCAACTATGCTGCCCTCTAAATGAAAAGAAGGAAAGAAACCGCTTCAGTTTCCCTTGAGTAAAGTTGGAGGGGAAAAAAATAATGTCCTCAGGGCAAAATGATACCCTAGTTGCCTTTGTACATTTCTGCTGATTTTCACAGCTCCTCCTCTAAGGATCTCTGTACCACAGACAGGAAAGTCCCGCCTACTACTCTTTTTCATTTGCAGCTAATTGTGTGAAAGGTCACAAAGAACCGGATTCAGAACTGAGCAATATAGTTGTCTGGATTTGCCAGTTCAGCAGTACAGCATCTGCCATAAGAAAAAGAGCCCTATTTTGCACAAGCAGAGGTTTTGTTATCAGCTGATTACTTCATTTTGTGCTTCATTCAAGCAGGCGAAATTGCAGGGACTCGTGGGTGGGCAGTTTAGCTAGGCCTACGGCAGCAGGTGGTTCTTTCCTGTGTGCAAAGACTGTTAAGATTGGGGCCATACAAATCATCACAGTTTCATCCTGCACAGAGGCTGCAAGGTTGTGGGACTGCACCAGAATTAACTACTTAGCTTTCTTTAGAGCAATAGCTCCCGGCCTTGAAATTAGTGATGGCCGTGCACTGTAGCTCTCAGAGCCCCAGAGAAATAATGTTTGTTTGTTTGTTTGTTTGTTTATTTATTCAATTTTGACCCCGCCCGTCTAGACAACGTTGGTTGTTAACAGTTTATTTTTACCCCGCCCCTCTAGACAACGTTGGTTGTTAACAGTTCTTATGCTCCAATTCCATTTGTACTCTTAGGGTTAGATTATATGTTACAAACCAATTTTGAAAAGCAGTATAAGTATTTTACCCTTTGGGCAGGGATGTATGATGAAAACCTGCATTTGATTTGTCTTAAATGAACATGTTAATTACACCAATTTAGAAAATTTAAATGTATTTTAAAATTTACATTTTTCAACAACAAATTATTTTCCCAATTTCTAACATTTGACATCAGCTAATTAATTTTTAAATCCAATATTACAAATTTTGTGGGATTTTTATATCTCTCATCTTTCCTTAATTTGTTGCTCTTCAGAAATATTGTATTAGTAGCTATGCTTAGGGGGAGGGGAATGAGAGCTGTTGTTGTTGTTGTGACTTATCCCCATTGTGCTAAAGCGCTCTCTGCACAGTTTGCAACACAATTATGCGTTCGACACTTTGCTCCCAAGAGCATTATGAAAGGAATGAGAGCTGTTGTTGTTGTGACTTATCCCATTGTGCTAAAGCGCTCTCTGCACAGTTTGCAACACAATTATGCGTTCGACACTTTGCTCCCACAGCATTAACACAACTGGTAGGCAATGGGCTGGTCTATCTGCAAGGAAGACAGGAAACATCCTAATTGAAGGGTCCCCCACCTACCCCATTTATTTTCTATCTCCTTCAGAAATTGGAATCTGTCTTGAAGACTGACTTGCTGAAATCCCAGAAATGGATTGAAGTTTATCTGGAGCAGGAAAAGCAAATGAAGATGTTCAGGACATGCCTGACAATGCAGGAGGTATTTAACCAGCATAAAAGCACCTGCCAGAGACTGGTATACAAACGGATCCCAATTCCAGATTTCTGTGCTCCACAGGAAAAGGTAAGCGTCAAAAAGAGACCCTTTCCCCCCCCATCCCCATGTCGCACACATGAAGGAAAGCTGTTTAAAAGGATAGTGTCCTACCCTGAAAGGATAGATGACTGGAAAGCAAAGGGCTAAGCAACCACATTCTCCCGTGATGTATGTTTTCTGCTCAATATTGTGGTCTTTATATGGACAGCTTTCAGGGGAGGAGGATTTAAAAGAAATAATGTGTAGTTTGGTCTTAAAGAGCAGGACCTAAATCTAATTGTGAGACCACGTTTGTATTACACCCATTTAATCAGTTGCTAAATGGTGAACCAACACTTGCCACTGATTCAATGGGTCCACTCCTGTTGGGACTACCAATTGGTAATCAGGCCCAGGTAATTAAGTAGGCATAGTAGAGGGAGCCATTTCTTTTCCTCTTTGGCCATTAATTTGGGCTATCCAAGCCATTCTCAACTTGGAGCCTTCCAGAGGTGTTGAGCAACAGCTCTCATCATCCTTGGTCAGGGGTGATGAGGGATGTAGCCCAGCACATCTGAAGATTTGGAAAGGCTGAACTACACACACTTTTGTGGCTGATTTGCTTACAAGCACATTGCTACCATCCTTTGGCCTCAGCTAGAGTGGAACATAGGTTTGGTATCATAAGTAACACGATAAGAGAGATGAGTGCTCTTTTAGTATTTTTAACATAACTCAAGTTTAACTAATGTTTGATTTTGTGTGATACAACATGAGCTGCCAATGCTAGGGATATCTTGCATTGATAATGGCGTCCTTAGCTGCAGGAAAATGCAAAATCACTTTCAGGCATAGATTTATTCATTTTTAAAATCTTGTTTAGCACACTGAGACCTGTAGATAGTATTAATTTCTGTTCAGCAACATCCTCACAATTATGAAGGACCAGGAGCTTTAAATTTAAAACAAAAAGAAACCTGTAGACAACAGAATTATCACCTACTGGTAATGGTGGTGTTGGCCCCTCTCCTCAATGCTGTTACAGCTGAGACAAATTGTTAGAAGGCAAATCAATAAATCAGTGTTTGTGTGTGTGAGGGGGGGAGGGAGAGATTATGCATGTATGTTTTTTAAAGGTGAAACATGGACTTATATGCACAGGCTAGTTCATTTCTTGACTTATTAAACTGAGATATTATAATTTGAGTCACTCCTATGTTTACACAGCCATAGTGCGTGCTCTTCTGACCTCTATGGTATTGATTGATTGATTGATTGATTGTATTTATACCCAGCCTATCTGGTCAAACGACCATTCTAGGCGGCTACCAACATAAATAACCATATATAAACTATAACAAAGTTTAAACATCAATAAAGAAGTTAATCAAGATAAAGAAGGGGAAAAAGAAAATATAAAAAAGGAAAAAGGGTACCCAAGTAAAACATATTCTATGGATTCTTTCTTTCTTTCATTCACTGATTGTATACTGCTTACTACTCTAAGCTGTTTACTCAAAACATCAGTAACACAAATATAATAACCAAATAAACCTCAAGTAAGTACAGACTATGAGAACACCTGTAAAAATAACTTACAGGATGATGCCCTTAAAAGCTTCATGGAACAATAGAGTTTTAAGCATCCTTTTAAAGGACAGGAGGGAGGAGGCTTGACAAACTTCCATGGGGAGCCTGTTCCATAAAGTGTGAATCACAGCCAAGAAGGCATAACTCTTGGTGACTACCTTCTGATCCTCTCTTGGTGTGGCAACCCAGAGGAGCAAGGCCTATGAAGAGCATGCGCTGATGTTCTGAGGGAGAGACTCTCTGACAGATACGGATGCTCCAAACCATTATGGGCTTTGTGTACTAGTTCTAGCACCTTTGGTATGGAAGACAACCACACCTTCCAGGTCAAGTATTACTTGACATGGAAGGTGGGGGTCTCCTTGGAAAGTTATTCTGTAGAGTGCACATGGAGCCCATGGTTTCTGTCTACTTAGGAAAGACGAACCTGCCCAGTGTTCTTTTTTGTCTTCTGTCTGTAGGACTTTGACCAGTTGCTGGAAGCGATGAAGGCTGCTCTGGCTGAGGACTCCCAGACAGCCTTTGTCTTCAATTGTCACAGTGGAAGAGGAAGAACCACAACAGCCATGGTTATTGCTGTCCTCATCCTTTGGCATTTCAGAGTATGTATGAATTTGGAGAGCAGGCTCCTGCTCTCCAAAGGGCCTGGAACTACCTGATATTCTAAGCAAAATTTTTAGTGGATTGTCCAAAGATTGTATCTGTCGATCTTATAAGCCCATTATCTGGGGCACAATATGGAGGTTTTAATACTTTGTAACTTGTATACTTTAGTGAGACAATTCCAGGTCACAAAAGGTAGCTCCCCATTAGTCCTAGTATTAAATAATAGTGCTCATACACCATTACTACTGATAGAGAATTTGTTGGGCCAGGTCTCATTGTGAAGTTGTCTCCAGTTCTATAGGAGTGGCTTCCAATGGTAACGTTAACTGATGGGGCACACTTGCAGATAATGCAAGAAATTCTCTGGGATTAGGACAGTCACATTTGCATTGTTTTCTGTTGACTACATGACGTACAAATCACTGCAAATTATCCTGAAGTTATTACCTCTAAACTGTCATTTTTTTGCCTCCATCATTGGGGCTTTCACTTTTTTTGCAGTGATTGCATTCACCCCGGCTCAGACGGTGTGATCCCTTGTGCAGAAGCATGTACTGTAGTTTGTAACCATTTTATTTCAAGCCGTTCTACTCGGCTACAGCAGTGAGGTAGGGCAGTAAGTCCCTTCAGATGGGAAACTGGCTGCCATTTGAATCATCATCTCCTCAGACCTTGTTTTCCTGTTCCATTCTTTTTCTTTTCCTTTTTTCCCGAGGCTTGGTGCCATTGTGCTAGGGCACCTAGGAGACTAAAGGGGAAAAAAACAGCAGAGTCAGCAGAGACTGAGGAGGAAGTTGGCAGCCAGTGTTTGTTTACAGCCTGCTAATATAGATCTCGTGTAGCCCTGCCTCCTGCAGATCTGTGTGGCCACAGCAGAGCTACACTAACAAGCTTCAGACAAGGTTGATTATCAATTTCCTCCCCCCCTCTCTCTGCTGACTCCTCTGTGGTTGACTTCCCTGGCATGACTTCACAGTAGATGCATTTGCATTTTTCCATTGTGTACTTGCACACTGAGGCTCCTGTCTGTAGCATCTGGAAGGACACCAGACTGGGAGAGGCTGAAGTACATGTCAAAAGAAGGGTCGGGACAAATACATGAAGCTTATAATTAATGTAAATTTGCAATGTGTCTTATATGGCACATAACTAGCACTATGAATGGGTGTATATTGGATTACATAAATTTTATGGAAGTGTTTAAAGCATATTCCTTTTATAGCTTAAAAATCAACCATAAGACTCCTATTGGTTGGTTGGGTTTTTTTTGCAGGGAATCCCTGAGATAGTTGAGGATGAGATTGTGAGTGTGCCTGATGCCAAGTACACCAAAGGAGAGTTCGAGGTGAGTATATCAAACATTCTGCCATTTGGGTCATGTTTTCTAAAATGGCTCTTAAGGCACACACTACCTCAGTGGAGCTCATTTTAAATCTTGTTTGCCTGGCATAAGACATCCCTCCTGCCCAACTTCTGGCAAGGTGTAGATCTGTGTAAAGCATAAAGTGCTTTTAAAATTAAATAGCTATTGAATATTATTATCTCTCACTCTGCTGCCATCGCTACAGTCACAGAGTTTCCCATATTCCAAGTGAGGCTGAGTAGTGAGAGCAGCGAGTGTCTGCTCCTACAGTCCCTTGGCGGAAGAGGAAAGGGAGAACGTGACACAAACTGTCTAATGAAATCATGGGACCAAATTGGTACAGATGTCAGTAAAGGACTGTGACTTATAGCTGCAAGGCTCTCCTTTCCCTTGCATTTCAAGTTATCAGAGGGGTGCAGCTGAACTCTGAGAGGTTAGAGCAAAGTATGGATGCATGAGCTCCAATGTATATATTTTTTGGAATTTTTGCTGTTGCATTTTGTCAGGAGGGTCAGGCACCTTGCAGACACTTATTTCCAACTCACATTTCCCTCTGTGTTTCTACAAAGTAAGCAGAGAAATGTAATGCAAAAAGAAATTTTTGGAGGCAAATTGCTTCCCCTGGTATTCCTCAGAAGCAGTTTTCTGCTCAGGACCCACCAATTGGGTTGGCTCTCTTTATCCACCTATTCCCTACCACCACCCCACCTGTTTTGGGTCAAATGTTGTTAAGTGGGTAAGTTTTATGTTAAGATTTATGGTTGTTTTTACCTGCCAGGTGGTGATGAAGATGGTCCAGATATTGCCAGAGGGACACCACATGAAGAAGGAGGTGGACATGGCACTGGACACCGTGAGTGAGACAATGACACCCATGCATTATCACCTGAGGGAAATCATCATATGTACCTACAGACAGGTAAGGCTGATGCCAACTGTTGGGTGTGTTTCTGAGTTATCTGTATCCCTCTGGGTATCCCTCTCTTCTCTGTCAACAGTTGTTTTGCGTTCCTGTTAAGATAGATAATCAGATTTGTTTTGGTCATATTTAGCAATTAGCAGAATCAGACATACCGAAGCCTTATGTGAGGGAATACTATAGAAGAAGGGTGGCATAGGAAGAATAAGAGGATGGCTGCTGTCTGCCTTCTTAGATTAAAGATCACCTGTTGACCTCAGAAACTACTTGGGGGTTGGGAGACCTATATCTTAAGGGCCACATGCAGATCATAACCTGGCTTCATATTCTGGTTGCCCTTCCTGTTCTGGTTGCTGTGCCGTCTGCTGTTGGAAAGTGGATGTCCAATAGGCTTCAGCGAAGATAATGCAGAACTCAGCAGGAAAAGGACTGCTCACTCATGGGCCAAATAAATAAGTGTATTTGGGGGCAGAGGGAGGTTGTCTTAAACTTCAGTTATCAGCATGTAGTCTTTGGTCTCTATTTTGTTATGGCCGGGAGGTTTGGCTCCCTGCCCTCACACCTTACAAACCATGCATGACTCACCTTAATATGCAGGGCTGTGCATAGTCTGGGTTTGAATAACATCTAAATCCTATGCCTAGACAGTAGAAATCTTGTGAACTTTATAAATTACGATCTCTTGCATTCTGCTTAGTTCTGTAAACACAGCTGTGCATAATTTCTTTTGGTTTTCTTAGTCATAGTGAAAGATAAGGAATTATCCATGCCTCTTTTGCTTGCGTCTTCCAGGGGCTGCCTGCAAATGCCTGGGTCTAGCATTCCATCCGTCCTTTGTTGCAGTCATTCGTAACAAACACTAATAGCCAGGTTCAGCAGAAGTGGAACTCATTGTTTGCACATGCTTTTTGTTTCCTCCATTATTTTGGTTGGTTTTTGTTTCTTCATAAGAGGTATACCTCAACCTGGATTGTAATACGATTGGCACTCCCTTTAAGAGAGTGTGGATTGACACTTACCTATGTGAAGAATAAACATTGTCAATGAGATGAGAGACAGTCATTAGAATGTACATAAATTCATATATATTGTATTGTATTGTCTGATACAGATACCACAGTTGCACATTGCTCTATGTTACTTTGTTTTGCTTTGTTTTTACTTGTGTAACAGTTTTAAGAAAAATGTGTATTTTTTTCTTTTAAAAAAGAGTTGTGTGTGGATTTGCACCAAAACTAGGATGAGCATACGCATCTATCCTTTTAAAAAAAGGGAGTAGGGAAAATTTTGGACTTGAATTCTCATCAGTCTTGGCTAACATAGCCACACTCAGCAAAGGCCAATGCTGGGGAATTCCTGGATATTCATATTATTAGTTTTTATTTCAATAGTACTACAAGCCCTACTTTAAACATATCGATTACTAGAGCTGCAATATTAAATTGACACTTTGGAATGATTTGCATACAGTTGCATACTGTTACAGGGGAACAGCCTGAAATCCACTGGGACTTTTGCGTAGCTTTAGTTTAATTTCTTGTCTTTGTAGGCAGGGTGGATTGGGGTAAATATCAGGGATTATATACCGCCCCATAGTGCTTAAAGCACTCACTGAATGGTTTACAATTTAATTATGCAGGCTACCCATTGCCCTCCCCTCCAACTAGTTGGATACTCAATTTACCAATCTACTCACTTTTGCTGTGAAGTTGCACCAAGGAACTACAGTTTAAGTAGCCAGACAGAAAACAGGAGAAAGCCCCACCTTCTCTCTTTCCCCCCTGTTTGCTTACAGTTCTGTTATAGCTATGCAGGTGGTGTGATTACAAAGAACTGCTTTACAAACGGTAAAAAAGCTTATACTTCAATTTGATTGCTAAACTAGGAAAATCCGTTCACTTAAAATGTGGTTTGCTGACCAAGAGAGCCAATAGCCTTTTACATTTATTCTGCTGCTTTACCAAAAGTAGTTGTTTGTCCCAGAGTAACCTCTAAGAGGCACTGCATTGCTGTTGCAACTTCCATTTGAGCATCACATCTCACATTTCTAGGGTTACAACTGTTATGCCCTATCAGTCATTTAATACTTTGTTTATAAAGATTTCAAACTTTGACCAGTTTCTTCATAATGTTATTTTGTTATCTTTTTTAAAAAAAGCCTCTCACCCACAGAGACAAGCTCCTGTAAAACAAAAACAAATCTCAGAAGCGTTGACCATGGAGGAGAGCTGTAAAAAAACAGTAGTGTCTCTGGGGAAAAAGACTTTGCTCCCTGTGAGTGGGTCCTGGTGCTTCTTGTGTGTGTAGCCTGTGAGGCAAGAGGAAAAGGAGAAAGTGCATTGGCAAGTGCTGCAGTGTGTGTCTGTCTGTGTGCTCAGCTCATCCTCCTTTTCTGCATTGGTTCAAGCTATCACACACCTGAAGTATTCCAAAAGGATTCATGTTTTTAAAAGGCAGAAGGCTCTCTGAGGGAAGGGAAAAACTATGGATAGGAAACGGGGTTCCACACTTATTCACATTTCTTGTTCCATCATGTGATCAGTGGGGGGAAATGCAAATCAGCCCACCCCAAACCTACAGTATTTGTTCCATTTCTTGCTGATTTAATTTTTCCCTTATTGGCTTTGTTTGTTGTCCTTCTCCACACTTCGCATTCCACCATTATAGCTTTCACGCTCCTGGCCAGTACTTGTTCTGTGTGGCTCCTGCAGCTGCATGGAATGAATGCCAGTGGGCTTGGTAGCACTCTCTCAAGAGTGCCAGCCATGATAAGGAACCTCTTTTGCATTCCCTGCAAGACAGGTGGAAAGCTCAACAGGTGCAGTGCTTTTCTTTGTACCTTTCAGCTCTAGATATATAAGTGGGTGACTGGTATAGTGTTGATTTTCTCAGGTTGGAAGAGTCGCTTTTCTGGATGACAGATCTTGGAATCTCCCAGCCAGCAAGAAATGCTGGGTGTTATAATAATTATATATATAAAAGTGATTTATATATATAAAAGTGATTCTTCTGTGCTCTGGACTTTTCTAACTTCTCATCTGTTTTTCTCAGATCAGAGAACAGACCGTATAATGCCTTGTGGACATTTTAAAATGTAATTTCCTTTTGGAGAAAGCAGTGATGCCTCAGGCAAAAAGCACTTGCTAGACTGGATGAGGAAGGAATCTGCAACAAGTCTGAAGTGAACATGGAGGAAGAAAAATATGTAACAGTGCCCTGAGGAGGAAGAGGAAAAATAATAGTACTAATAATAAGCAGAAGTGGGGTTTGTGTCCTGTAATTAAAAGCAGCAGTTAACTCAGCAAAGGGTTAAAACTCCTCGTCTCATCTGACAGCCAGTATCCCCTTGAGACCCTGGTACAGATCTGTTGCAGTAGAAATCTGACCCAAGATGGTATGCCTGTAAAAAAAAATCTGCTCCAACATTTAAGCCGTGAACACCACCTACCTTTCAGTAAAAGCTGGAGTGGAAGCTGGCAGTGCTGATAAAACTCAGTAGCCCACTATTTACAAACTTGATAATAAACCTACGGTAGCTTAGCTAGTGTAGAAGCAAACCAGTAGTGACAGATTTTGGCTAAAGAGAGTCTTCAGAACGATGCACTATGCACCTGAAGTCAACAGATGGCAGGCAAGTGCCTATTGAATTTCTGGTAAGATGTTCTTAGGCATATAGGCTTAAGAAAAGGAGAAGCACACATACCGCATTTAAAAAACTGAATACAGTACTTTTTTCTATTCCACTGCTAGAGTCATGGTAGCCGTTTTCATTCTTTCAGCTAAGGGTTGGCCCATATATTCCTGTTCATTTGCTGATTACTTGCACATGTGAATATTGTGTATTCACATGTGTACATTCTAAAGATAATGGCACACACACACACACACACACACACACACAGAGAGAGAGAGAGAGAGAGAGAGAGATTTTCTTATTGATCAGTATTAAGAATATTAAATGTATGTAGTGGCCAGAGTATGCCACAAATTGGCAATTTGCAACAGTCAAGTTCCCATAATGGTATGAGCCAATGTTGGAAGTAAATAATTATATATAACTAGTTATATGTAATTAATTTCTTTTTTCAATAATTAAATTATAGTGAAGTTCAATAGTGATAGTAACTTGAAGGGCAGTGTCACCATTTAAATTAAAGTTTTTAATTTACTTTTTAAATTTTGATATAACAAAAGTTTGCTCCTGTATTACAATCAAGTTTAATCCGTAACAGATCAGAAAAGTGGAAAGTTTTGTGGCTTTATCCAGAGTTCTACTTCAACTGGAAATGTTCAGAGTGAGCAAGTTAACCTTGATACAGTTGACCTGGGAAGATTTAGTATCTTCAAAGGGGAAGTTTTAAAACCTAGCTGTTTGAACTTATTCTTTTGGACTTTTTTTACAAAGCTTTGAGACACCGAAACTCTGGATCACGCAGTCACAATAATATCCATAGTATGTTCAGAGCAGATGAAAAAAGTAAGTACATGTGTAATTATCTTATAAAATCAAGTAAATGTTACAGTGACAGCCACTAGATGACCTATAATAATGATAATATAATTCACTATAATGAGAATAAGGACAACAATGGTGATATATCATCATCAGATACATGTATGCCAGCCGTTACTGGCAATAAATGTAATGGCGCTCTCTCTCTCTCTCTGTAACACATTGAATATGCCATGAAAAATTAAATTACAGATTGGTAGATAAATCAGTCATAGTAACTAGAGGGAACTACCCTGTTAAAAGACATACCCCTGCACATCAGGTGTATAGGAGGGCTGGCAGGAAATCAGTAGCTTTTTGTGAGCCACTAAAATTATGTGACTTGACAGCTGATGAAAGAAGTGATGGACTAGATTGGCTAATTGTCTAGCTAGGCAATTAACTCCTCAAGACTGAACTGTGCGCCGCATCTGGAGGACAAGGTCTCTATACATAGGAAAGGAAAAGTCTGGTAGAGTTAATACACAGTTAATTCTTTAAAAGCTTT